AATGTAAAGCACACCAGCATATACAAGGTTTGGCTAAATCCACTTTTAGCCTTCATCCATGGGACCTCAACCAGATCGAAGCAAATCCACTAATCAACAAACATTATAAGATATAGTACAAAGTTGATTTTAGCTACAGCAAAGAGAACTCCCTATTCTAGTTACACTAAACACCACTCTTTGAATCTCTAATATCTTGTTGCTCCACGGATCTCTTCACACTAGGTTTACTCCTAGAAAATGCTTGAGTTCCACCCAAGCTTTAGTCACTGAAGACACACTCCAACATTAGCAAAGGAACCATGTTCCAACCGCCATTCAACAATGAAGATAAACAAGAAAGTTTCTAGCACAAACCCATATAAAAGAACCTAACCAAGAACAACTCTCTGAAAAGTTCAGAGTACCAACGAAATAGATATTCAGGTTCAAAAAGAAAAAACAACCAAGGAAGAAGATGAACATCCTTTGAGCTCAACAAAGATGAAGGATGATAAGTGTTTGGCACAATAACATATGGTGAACCTTTGAGGAAGAAAACTCTTTGAATGTTTCAGAGCACAAGGAAATAAAAATATCAAAGGTTAGCTTTACAAATGAGCAAGAATGAAGATGATATAGACCAATTTCATGCCCCCCCAAATCTTGCCAATTCAGCAAACAAGGGCTGACATATGTTGGTCAAAAAATGGAAAAGATTCCACCAATCTTTTGGGACCACAACCAAAAAGGGAAAAAGCTTATTTCCCTAGACCACAAGAGGATATTGGGACAGTTGTTGGTGGTCCTCATGACATCACAACAGATGAAAAAAAATATCTCAACTGATAAAGAAAAAAACGCAACTTGTGAAAAAGTGAGTCAGCATGCGATGTTAGTATAGTAGAAAAGTGTGCGCACACACGAAGTAAAATGCAAAATGAAATGCAACATGCATATGTCTAACATAAGTGTGCAAGCACACATCCACTGTGAACACACATGAAAGGAAAATGTAAAAGGCATAAGCCTGACATAGTTGAACACGTGTAGGACAAAAAGAATTCCAACTTTTCGTTGGATCACAAACATATATTTTCTCTTTCTTGCGGGACCATAGAAAAAGTCTTACAACCTTTTAGGACCATATAAAGAAATTGTGACACCTGTAAAGTTAGCTCAAACAAATATATCATGAATTAAAATTAGCTTGATGGGCAAGACAACAAAGAGAAAATGCCACTTGGCAAAATGTGTCAGATAGTAGATGCTTGCACGCAAGAACGATGTGTGCACATATTTGCTCAACAATTCATTGTCCACCATAACATAAGTTTGACAAAAAATATCAGCACATATGATAGGGAGGCTAAACTAGCCTGGGACCTCCTCGCCTCTAGCATGCATGTGAAGGGTTGACGTTGTCATCATGAAGAAGGCCGTTACGGAATGGACTAGTCCGAACCTCTCCCGACGATAGCGATGACATTGCAGGGACCTCATTATTTGGGAAACCAACATTTTTGCAAAAGCGACCATTGCTCAATGAAATCTTTAGAGTAGGGAAGAAAAGTAACAAAAAGAAAGGAAACCCTAAAAGGCTATAAACCGCTTGATGGGTTCAAAACAAAGCAAGAATGATGAAGGATGAACATCCAACCCAAAAACACTTGCATTTATAGAAGGGCAAAAGCGCTATAGCGTCACTTTGATATCCCCAAAACAGCTGCAACCCTTAACACTTCGGGGTACGGGATGAAAAAACAGTCACATCCCATTAAATGCAATGTCAGACGACACTTGAAATCCCGTCGATTACCATAAAGCTGCAGGTAGATGAAAAGTCTACAATAAGTGACAAGATTAGACATGACATCACTTATGGGACTAGACCATAAAAGACTTAGTTTTCCAAGCTTGCCTTGACTTTAGAAAAATAGGGGCAAATGTTGTACGATAAAAATCCACAACCTGGGCTCGATAAAAGAGCCCGAGACACGCCTTTACACAGACTAAACATTAGGGTAAGAGCAAAGAGGCTCGATGAAAGGCGTGAGCAACCAGCCTATGTATGTAGGCGCAACATGTGACAAGATAAAAAAAGTGGTCTGTCATATGAAAATATCTTCCTGATCGGGTAGATAATCTTACCACATATATGCCACACACCTTAATCAGCGGCACACAACAGTGCAAACTCCACGTGCTCTCCATGCAGCTTATCCAAGGGGAGACCTGTAAAGACACCTACTGTTAGAGGAGAAGGAGGAGACTAGGGAAGGAGAGAGAAGGGATAAGAGATGACAGACGGGAGTGAGGATAGAGAAAAAGCCTTTCTAGTCCAAGCATCAGGTCTAAAGCAGAGAAACCAAATGGAAATATCCCACCCCTGCCCCCTTCCAAAAAAAAAAAAAAAATTTTATTGGGGGAGACCCTTCTCTTGTATGCCGACATCACATAATCAAATAAAAAATCAGTGGACATATGCCATTATGCCTTATTCGTTTTGTGGCCGAACCACTTTAAAAACGTCTAGTTTTCACACCATTCTCCAAGAGGCGCATGTTACAGTCATGAGAATGACTCCATTAAAGTGATTTAATACCCTTTGTTATTATTTAATTGAATATATATTGAAACAATTTATGAATTTATTTATGAAAAATCACATTCTAATATTTTCTTACAAATTTTGCATGTTTGGAATGATTTTGGAAATGGTGTGAGTTGATATTAGGTTGTAGTTTATGGACTAGTGTTGATTTTATTTCATTTATGTTTATTAGGGGGTAAACTATCATGTTTCCAAGGGGTTGATTTTGTCACTTTTCAAATGTGCAGGGACTAAAGAAATTTACCACAATTTCTATAAAAGGAAAGTGAAGAGTCGTGAAAAGGTAGTGCCGCTCACCCCAAACCCTAGCTCTACCGCCGGCTCTTCTGTTTCCATTTCAGGCAACTCTCCAGCTTCCTCTTGCACCAATCATCATCATCTCTCATTTATGTTTTGTGCGTTTGTCGGCGACCGTTCGGCTTCCACAGCTCATTCTGTGTTTTTCAATGACTCTTCAGCTCATCTGGTCATTGTTTCACCTTCTAGAGCTCATATCAACTTCACATAGCTTTGATCCACCGTTTCTCGTCGAGAAATGCCGTGATGTTTCACATTTAACCATTGGCGATGTTTCAGCTTCTAGGCATGTCTTCATGCACTTTCCAATGGGTTTTCACCTTCCAACCAATCGGTCTAGCTTCCCCAGGTCCTGATCTATCTTCTAGTGTGCTTGAATCTTCATTTCGTCATGAGCCGTCTCCAGATTCCGACGAGTTGCAACTGTTTGACTTTAGGGTGTTCTCTTAGTCATTTTCATCCCTTCGTCACATCATCCTACTGTCGGTCACTTCCTCTTCACCATGACCATCTCTATTCTCTATTCTTCAGCCATCATTGACACCACCATGAGTGGTTGAACTCCCAGTTGCCCGTTATGGTGTAGGCCAGACTAGGATCGACGCTTATGGTTCTTCTTGGTAGTTCTTGACTAGTTGGATTGAGCCCAAACATTGGACATTTGGTTAAGTTTCTTGTATTAAGATTATATTTACTTCGTTTGAGTTTGTTTGAGATACTTTAATATTATTCTGATGCTTGACATGTTGAATTGATTATGTCCATTGAGAACGTTTGTTGATATAGAACTTTTTGCACAATTGAATGTTGGTTTGAGTTTATTGAATGTTGATTATGGCTTTAAATTGCTTCGATGCTGATTGCAATCAAGTTGTATTAGCGTTTAATATCATTTTTACTAGGAATGCATTCGTTGTGTAATTGATTGATTGGATGATACAAAGTTGATAGGTTGTACTTGTTAGCATTGTACCAACTAGTGGTGTTTAATGGTTAGCATTTTTCAGTTTGCCGATGATAGTTTTTAACCAATCGAACTTTGGTTGAGTAAATGGAGAGACAAGATAGATTATATTTAGATATAATCTTTAACCAATTAATCTATGATTAAATTAGTAGGGAGACAAAATATATTATACCTAGATTGCGGGGAGATGTTTTTATTGATTTGCCTAGCCTTGTAGGTTTAGGAAATTGAAGAGCGAGGAGAGGAATTGTAAGATTTGGTCTTGAATCGAACCAAATCCATAAGGGCAATGCCTTTATTATAGAGTTTTAATTAGCCTTTTTAGTTACTTGTTATTAATTAGTTTCCTTAGTTGTTTATTAATCAAATTGTCAATTTCCCTTTCGTTAACTCAAATATATATTAGATTGATAGTCTTCTTCCCTATGGATTTGACCATTTTTACTTCTAACTATGGTATTTAGGATTATTTAATTTTGTGTCTGTGACGATCAGCTCGACATGGACATAGGCCTTATTCGTTTCCTAGTCGAACCACTTTAGAAAAGTCCAGTCTTCACACCATTCTACAGGAGGTGCATCACCACCTTGGCCAACTCCGCGTGTGGGTCAAGTCTTCTTTGTTGGTTCCTAGGAATCACGCACCCATCTTGCTCGGTTCTCTCTGGAGTCAATTGAGTATCTCTGGTTGACGCGTGTCTTCGTCCCGATTTTTTAGTCGGTGTAGAAATTCGTATCAACAATTGTGAATTAATTTTTCAACTCCATTGACTGAATTTGCAGACTCCACAGATGGTGAGTAAGCTTTGACCAAACTAATTGTAAACAGTAGGAATAACACCTCAACAACCTGGCTTTGATACCAAATTGTAGCAAAACAAAACCAGAATATTTGTTACAGAAAGCAGAAGCAAGTGCTTGGTATGATTTTATTATATTAAAGACTTGACCTTGAAACTTACATTTATAGTGAATAAAGACAACTTCCAAGAAAAAACAAACTGCCCCTAATAGCAGTGATCTGCTACACTATAAACAGATTCCTATAAACCAGGTCCAGGACGACTTGGTGTTCATTTCAGCAACCAGATTCAACCCACTTTCACTCTTTGACATCATCAGTGAGTTGGCGATGAATCTGTACACAGAAGTTATCGTCTATCTATTTTACTCCCAGCCCAATCTGCATCTATGTAAGCTTCAACTTGAAGATGCCCACAATTTTCAAATAGAAGACCTTTTCCTGGAATTCCTTTTAGGTATGTCAGCATTCTATAAACAACATCAAAGTGTTCCTTTCCGGGTGAGTGCATAAACTGACTTACCACGCCACCTGCAAAATCTATATAAGGACGAGTGCGTAAAAGGTAAATCAGTCTACTAACCAGCCATTGAAACTTTTCTTTGTCAATTACTTATTCAGGCTTGGCAGGTTGCATTTTCACGTTGGATTCTATGGGTGTCTCAGCCACTTTACAACCTAGCAAATTTGTTTCTCCCGGCAAGTCAAGCACATATTTCTGTTGAGAAATAAATATCCCTAACTTAGACCTAGCAAATTCCATACCAAGGAAGTACTTCAGTGTACCCAAGTCTTTGATCTCACATTCAGGGGTAAGGACCCTTTTCAATCTTTCAAGCTCAGCAAAATCATCTCCTGTCAGCAATAACCTGAGTAGATAAGGAGATAAAAAATTATTGACAATTTTCAGCAATAACCAACATATCTAGTAAAAACTCTTAGGCCTGCATTAGTATAAATTCACAATTATAATTGCTCAATGTAATTTAGTATTTTTCCAGTGCTTAACCCAGTCAAAGAGAAATGAATGAATCTTTTGAAAAACTCCACCTACCCATTAAAATTGAAGAAACCTATATCCAACTTAAATAAGAAAGTCAAAATAACTACGATTTGTCAAGATCGAACTCACAAAAATACTAGTAACGATGCTAAATCCTTACAAAAAATATATATATTATCCCATGTCTGGATTATTATAACTCATAAATCTTCATACCTTCCACCTCTGATTTCTGGTAAGTATATTTCCCACGTTAAGCAATTCATCAGATTCGTTCTTGAACTCTAATATTGCCTTAGCCAAATCTTTATCTTCATCAGCATGAAAGAAACACTTACGATGCTTAGCATCAAGGACTAAGGATTCCCAAACAGATTCGCTTCTAGTCAAGGTTGTTTCATTCCCCAAAATCCAAAGACAGTGCCTATAAATCATCAAAGGAATAGTAGTTATTAGTATAGTTACCAAGAATGATCCAAAACCCATTTATGATAAAGTTTTTGCATAAGTTTTACCTCGCCCTTGTAACCGCAACATTAGTCCTCTGTGGCTTGGACATGAACCCAATCGATCCGCCACTGTTCGATCTTACAGTGGATATTATTATAATGTCCTCCTCCCCACCCTGGAACCCATCAATTGACTTCACTTTTACACAAAATCCATCTCTGTTCTCATAATTACGTCCAAGTTTTTCTTGAATAGCAAATACTTGAGCATTATAGGGAGACACGATACCAATGCTAAGCTTCAGTTTTGAGCGAGCCCAAGCTGCAAAGAAATATTACCAAGCCATCAAAAAGGAAATATAAGCACATGGAAAAAAAGGAAACACCTAACATTAATGGGCTTTTTCCATTACAGAAAGCACTGACCCTTCCATGTTTCATAGAATAATTGAATAAGTCTCTTTTTACTCCATCAAATATGTAGTTCTACCATTCTATTAATGATCAAACTTAGTGGTAAATATATACATAAACTATTGAAGCCTCTGTATGTGATTCTTCTCAGAGCTAGCAATTAAATCTGCCATCTAATAAAATCAAAATCGATCGAAAATAACCAAAATTAAACATCATGTTTTGCGTAAGAGGAGCTGAACAGCACATATCTTGTATCTCAAAGATCAATATAAAATGTTAAAAAATTAACAAGCCAAAAGGTCAACTGTTAGTGTAATTTAAAAAAAAAAAAAAAAAAAACCTCGAGATGGTAACAAGTGCATGAGACTCAAGAAAACATACCTTTGTACAATTTCTGCAGTATTTCCAGCACTACAGATACCTCAACCATATTTCTACGGCTATGGCCAATGTCGTCGAACTCTTCTCTTCCCCCAACTACATTAATGAATGAATAGGAACCAAACATTTTCCCTGGTAAATACTGTTTCTTGTAGACTTTTCTTTTAACATTTGGACCATTTAAGATTTGATTTTGATAGAAATACGAATTTGCAAAAGAGCTAATTGATGGATGCATTCTGTATTGTGTATTGAGCAGGTGTTTTGGGTGTCCTAATGAGCTCAACCTTTCAAATAAACTTATACCAAAACCAGCTTCGTCAGAAACCTAAAGAAAATGAAAATCAACATACACAAACTCAAGTTAAAGAGAATGAGAAGAAGTGATATGGAAACCAAGCAAAGGAAGAGGGAAATGTAAAAAAAAAAAAAAAAAAAAAAAAAAAAAATACCATTTACACATTGCTTTCGACTGTTGCAGGTAATTGCTGTTCGTCGCCGATTAGAACAGCATGCTTTATACCAGGGAGTTGCATAGGCATAATTGACTCACTTTCTTTCAACTGCGCCGCTTCATCAATACCAGAAAGCTCAGCGGTTCCTTTACCATGTAGTGCAGCAAATGTGAACTTGAAGCAGTGCAAAAAATCAAAGAGCCTTTTTGAAACAGAAATCGTTTAAGATTTTTTGTTTACAGCTTTTGGTGAGCCAAGTTCATTAAGGGAAACCCAAAGAGTTTCAAAGCAATGACATTTACTTCTGGTGGCAACAAGGACTTTGCATCCACAATTGACCCAGACAAATCTTCAACTTCGACTACCAGTGATGTGAAAAAAGCTCCTTCAGTTCTTCAAACCAAATTGCCTGAAACAGCAAAGTTTCAAAGAATCAGTAAACTAGTAAGGCCTAAAATTTTTTGGAAAATTTTTTCCGAAATGGGTATATGTGTGCAGAAGGTTCTAATGCAATTTTTAAGTGAAATCAAATCACTAAATCTGTCTCTGACAAACGAAGAAATGACTTGCACTTCTTGCTGCCTTCAGTTTTTTTCTTGCATTTTTTCCCCTTTTTTTTATTTTCATTTTCCAGAAAAGTTTGATACTGAGAAACACAACCTTCTAAAAATTCTGTCATGGAAGTGAAGCAACGTCTCCAACCTGTTACCAGTCCCAAGCACTCGACAAGCCTTTCAATACGGTAGTCCAAGTATATCTCTTCAATTTCTGCACCAACATTAAGTCTCTTCTTATTCCCAAATAAGAGCATATCTCCCAAAGGACGAAACAGAGTTGCTCTTCCAGTATCTGCTTCAGATGATTCTTTCACCAACTTCACAACACGCGACGCCACTTCTGTAATTGCAATATTTGTTGGAGCGCAAACAAGGGTTCTGCATTTCATTCTTAAGAGCCTAAAAAGCAGCATACTAACAGTTTTAGTTTTTCCCGTCCCTGGGGGTCCCCATATAAGCTCAATGCTGGCCTTGTGGTTACAATTGATCCTACGAAGACAAGCAAAGACAGCCTTTACTTGAGAATCATTCAAGGTAGATGATAAATTAGAACCGAATTTCTGAGCACAGACACCTCCATTGTGCTGAGAGCATAGTTCACAATTTTCCTCAACCTGTTATTTCATTGGAAATGTAATGGTTAGCACCGTGGTATAAAATCTACAAAAATGAAAAATATATATAAATTTTATGTCTTCAAGAACTTACTATTGTTTGACGACATAAAACTTTGTCGATAATCTTTGAATTCTGAGACATATGCAATGAGCTCCATATTCTTTTGTTCGGAGTTATGTTCGTCAAGAAAATTATAAACAATGATTTAGTCTTCTCATCTTCTACTTCAATGTCTTTCGAGGCTTGGATTTTTAAAGAAATAGTACTACCACTGCCAGATATTTTTGTGACGGATACAAAAGTCCACATCCTTCCGACCCCTTGCAAATCAGAAGCAGTTACAGGCTTAGCATCTGCTAGAACTAAAACATCCCCCGGCAATGTTTTATAAGCCTCCTTTCCGCGGTTCGTGCTGTTCCGCCAGTAATCAATCTTAAGTTCATACAACTTTTTTTCATAAGGCTTGGATTTCTTTAAAGAGACAAGTTTGGCAAAAGGTGTTCTTGAGATAATGTTCATGCCTGAATGCAGTTGAGCTCGCGTTTCTTCCAGTAGAGGAAAATCATATGACCGAAAATACTGATTCCTAGATTGAAATGATTTTGGAATTTTTTCCACCTAAAAGGAATAAAATATCAGAAATAATTCAAAACAGAATTTCAAAATATACTATTTGGCAGTCAGTATGAATTTGATTCAGGCATTTAGCACAAAGTGGATTATACATTTTTCTTTTTCTTATAACCAGAAAATGGCATCAAACATTTTATATATCTAATGTAAATTACATTAATGAATGATAAAATCACATAACTAAGAACACAATCAACAACTAATTTATTAATGTGAGTGATGCTTCAACAAAGATTCATTGGGCCACCAAAAAAAAAAAAAAAACTGCAATTTGTAAACGAAGAAGCAGAGGAAAACTTACATGGTCCTTGAAACGATTTGGATTAAGAATGTCGTCAAGAGTCCAAGAAAGAACTTTATCAGTGAAGCCATAGTCACTGAAAACTGGTCTTCTCTTGCTACGACTTCTGCTTTCCATCGATCACGGAGTTCTACCTCACTGTATTATCAAATAACAATTTGATCAGAGTGTTAAAAATAATTTCTCTGTTTGTTAGAAATGGAAAAAAATGAAGGTATTGCTTGTTTAGTAAGCAACTGAATCCATGCAACGAAGGAAACGAAGGAATCTCTATAAACATAAAAGCATCGAAAGCGAAAGCTCAGTCAGCTTTGTTTCTTTCATACGACAAACACAAACCTTGGAAAACTTTGTAAAGGCCAAGTTGATTTACCAAAAGTCTTGGTCTTCTCATTTTCTTCTTTTTTTATATTTTATTTATTTCACTAAGATACAAAACAATATTACCCTAGGGGAAATATTTTAATTTTAAATAAGTTTTCCAAACAAAAATTATTTATGTTTTGATCCATCCATTTTTCATACCTAAAATCTAACCTTTAAACCTTATAACATCTCCGAAAGACTCTTTATGTGACACAAATTATTTATTAAAAAGAGTTTATTCATATAAACAAGAATTCAACAGATTCTTTATTATTTAAATATAAATTAAAGAGTAAATTTGGCTTTTTACATTTAGAAAGTCAAATATCACTCTCTATTTCCATACCTTTTACTTATTAATTCTCTCTCTTATTAAGTATTTTTCTTAAAAATTTATAGAGTCCATTAAATTTGAATATAAATTTTGTTCTTTATAATTAAAAATTAATGAAGATGCTCTTTATTTATATAAAAAATATTATTTAAAATAAAAGACACTGCTTTGTTCATGCTAAATATTAATATTTGGTCATTAGACTCATTACAAGTAGTTACCTAATATGATATAGAGTTAAACATCACAAACAAAATAATTATCTCACATAATATCTTATTTATCTAATAGTTGTTTCACATTATTCCACGTATTAGATTAAATATCTATATTATTTCCTAATAGTTTTAAGCTTTTGAGTTAAATAATTGTTAAATAATTCATTAAAATTAATTTCGAATTCAATAATTTGAAATATTAAATTTGGATTAAAAAATTTCTAAAAATCAGTAATTTGTGAAGGAAGCTTAAATATCAAATTTGGAAAATCAGTAAGTTATAAGATTGTGAACTTAGGAGAAAAAGATAATAATTATCATATTTAAAAAAAAAAATGTAAAAAATTATAACTTGTGAACCAAGCTTAATGATGTGTTATTGAAAGACAAAGGTCTTTCATCACATGCTTTTGTTAAATTAAAGTAAAAATAAATTAAACTTTCAACGGAATTTACAAACACAAAAAAAAAAAAAAAGAAATAGTAATTTTCTTACTATTATTTATCCCTACAAAAGATCAGCACAATCCGGAATAAATAAATAAATATATAAAAAGCTTTCTTAAACATTGATTTTATGAATGATAAATTAGTAAGTTGATAAAGAAAAGTAAAAAGAAAGGGAGGGAGACAATTCAAAGCTTTGAGCAAGAGACCAATCATTTTTTAGTTTTAGTAGATAACTCTAAATAAACTAAAAATAAAAGATAAAAACTAATTTGTGTCGGCTCCTTAACGAATAAGAAACTATAAAAGGAAATTGAACAACTTATAAAAGAAGGGGAGTGATGAACAACTTATATTTGTAATGATATTATTATTATTTATTATAATATTAGGAGTAAAATTATTAAAAAAATAAATTATCAAGTAATCTTGAAATATTTAAGAAATTAAAGATATTTAGATTATTCTTATATAATCTACGATGATTATTATTAGTATAGAAAAAACTACTAAAATCTTTTATTACTTAACAATCAAACATATAATAATAGTAATATGAGATGATATTAAGAAATAATAGATGATTACCCTAACCAACCACACCCTCCAATAAAAAGTATAAACCAATTTGGTAGGAACCACTGGTGTCGGCTTCTTTAACGAATAAGAAATCATAAAAAGGAAATTGAACAACTTACAAAAGAGGGGAAGTTGATCAAGACACTCAATTCTGACTGTCAGCTGCATCCATTAAAAAGTGGCTACCTACTTTTTTCTTTATTTAAATTATTTCACAAAGACCTCACTCTTCTTTTTATAAATCTCAACATTTACATTTAGTTTGTCAGTCTCTCTTTCAAAGCCCAACTAAATATTGAAACTAAAAGTTTTCATTCTGAATCTGTTTTAAACATAAATATTATTCTGAAAATAATATAAAAATGACCAAAAAAAAAAAAAAAATCATCTATAAGAATATAATAATTAAAGAAATTATTTTCTTTTTCTTTGTAAAGATTTAAGATAGTTTTATAAATGGTCTCCAAGAATAAAATTAGAGTAGTTGAGAATTTAACTAAAAGAACCACTTCTTTCAGACCTTTTTTTTTTTTTTAAATTCTTGTTCCCACTCGAGTTGCATTTTTATCACTCAAAATAATCCTTTATAAAACATGTTTTGAATAAGTGTCATCGGCCAATTAAAAAGTGTCAAAAAATTTTCGTTTATTGATATAGAATTGTCATTTGAATGATAAAAGTGTTTATTTATTGATACAAATAAAATGCATATCTTTTTTTTTCAAGTTTAAAATAAAAGTATCATTGTTTGAATGTTAATACCCCTTTATTCAATTTTTTTTTTTCAAAACAAAACCATTTTATAATCTTCACTTATTCTTTTTTTTTTTTTTTTTGGTAACCTGGGTTTCCGGGCCAGCTTGCTTGTCTCCACTATTATTTTTATTTCCGAAAAGAAAATCTTAAAGTCTGTTTGGTATAGAATTTAAATACTGTTTTTTGTTTTTGAAAACAAGGGATATAACAAATCTTATGAAAATGTGTATGGTAAAAATGAGTAAAACCATTTTTTTAAAACAGTTTTCAAATACAATCCTAAAAACTAGTGTAAAATTAGAAAACAACTGAATTCACAATTTTTACAGTTTTTAATTTGAAAACAATTTTTAAATTTTATATTAGACACTTTTCCAAATATTAAAAATATTAAAATACAACTAAAAAATTTGAATTGTATTCTAGTTTTTAAAAATTATTTTTAAATCACAAATTAAACAGGCCCAATACATCATCATTAATCAATAAGAGAAGGAGATTGGGAGGAATAATGGTATATCTATTCCATTGATTTAACTGAGTATTTATAGAATACAAAATGTTTAAACCTATAAACTAAATCAACAAACTAGATTGTAGGTAATAGCAGAAACAACTTATACAAAGTCAGATAAAGAAATATTAAAAAAGATTCAAAACCCAGTTACAACTAAAGCAGCAAATAAGAGATTTGCTCTGTTATGCCCCCTTAAGATGGAGCTCGGGAGTAGACTCCAATCTTGTCTTTGAGAAGAAGAAATCTGGCTCAGGGAAGTGGTTTGGTTAGAGCATCAACAAGTTGATTAGCAGAGGAAACACGTGCAATCCGAAGAGAACCACCTTGAACTTGATCATGAATGAAATGAAAATCAATAGCTACATGTTTCATTCGTGAGTGGAAAACGGGATTAGAGCAGAGTTGAGTAGCCCCAACATTATCACAATACACAACAGGACTGGTAGAGAGATGAACATGTAGATCATGTAACAAAAAAGAAACCCAATTAAGTTTCGTTGTTGTGGTAGCAACTGATCGATATTCAGCTTCGGTGGAGGAACGAGCTATCGTCCTATGCTTCTTTGAACTCTAAGAGATAGCATTTCAGCCAAGGTAAACAATATAGGCATTGGTGGAGGAAAAGTCTTCCGGATTGCCAGCCCAATCAGCATCAGAGAAGGCATGTAAGGAAAAAGGAGAGTCCTTAAACAGCTAAAGGCCATCATTTATAGTGCCACAAAGATAATGAAGTAGTCGTTTAACAAGAGCACAATGCTCAGTTGTAGGTCTATACATGAATTGTGAAAGCTTATTAACCGCAAAAGCAATATCAGGGCGAGTAAGAAGAAGATATTGAATACTTCCTAGTATTGCCCGAACCTCTGTTGGATCAGAAAGAGTAAACCCACAATGCAATGTAAGAGAAGAGGAACTCATTTGAAGTGGAACTCATTGGAAGAGGAGTTGCCACTGGTTTAGCATCAGTCATGTGAGTTCTTACTTGAATATCCATTAGATAACGACGCTGAGAGAGTAAAATACCATGGTTGTTTGGGACAACCTCCATACCAAGAAAATATGTCAACATACCAAGATCCTTTAAAGAGAAACGATCAGCTAAAAGAGTAACAAACCTTTCCACCAAAGAATTATTATCTCCCGTTATACTCAAGTCATCAACATGAACAAGTAGATAGAGTCGATGACCATTCGAGGTAAGTACAAATAGAGATGTCTCAACATGAGAGTTCTTAAAACCAAAGTTAAGGAGAAATGTACGAAGTTCTTGATACCAAGCTCGGAGAGCTTGCTTGAGACCATAAATGGCTTTTCTGAGTTTGCAAACATGAGATGGATAATCTTGATCAATGAAGCCTTGTGGTTGAGCCCTGTAAACAGTCTTAGAGAGGTGACCCTGCAAGAATGCATTATTGATATCAAGTTGATGAAGAGGCCAGTCGCGACTCATAGCTAGGCTTAGAACTAGGCGAATGATGGTGGGTTTAACCACGGGACTGAAAATATCATGATAATCGACTCCCGGGCGTTGATGAAAATCTTTTGCAACCAAACAGGCCTTAAACCTGTCAATGGAGCCATCATAGTTATGTTTGATTCTAAAAATCCATTTACAACCAACAATATTATGACTAGGATTAGTAGGTACTAATTCTTATGTCCCATTTTAAACTAGAGCATCATATTTTTCTGACATGGTCCAACATCATTTTGGATCTTTGAGAGTTTGGGTTACGGTTGTAGGTTCAATATCGGTGGATTTGAATAATTGGGTATGAAGATTAAGCTTCTTGACAGGTTTGTGAATATTGTCTTTGGCTCGAGTGATCATTGAGTGCGTTGGATGGGAAGGGATACGGGAGGGTTGTCTTGGTGGTGGATTGAGTGTTGGTTGATTTGA